CATCTTGATCATGAGTGGAAAGGGAGCTTGGTGATTTCTGGTCATGGCACTGCTCTCAACAGCCATGTGATTTGGGCATACTATGAAAACCAAACAGATGACAAGCAGCCAGGACAGCTCCTTTGTTTTTAGGAGTGAATACATAGGCAGACTGGAACACTTGGTCTAGCTGCTCAACATGCATCTTGTCTTATGGGATAGTCATCCCTATGAAAAGCTGGATGTGGTTCTAAAAGGTGAGTTTAAATGCCTGGTGAGCTCATGACCAGGGATATGCCAGAGTCAAGCACACTCATTATCCATCCATCCATCCATCCATCCATCCATCCATCCATCCATCCATCCTTGAGAGTCTCATGAAATAGGTCAGGCTGGCCTGGAACCTGACACCTGGCTCAACCTTTGCAGGATTAGGGACATGCACCACCATGTTTCTGCTGTCCTGGTCACTGCTATAAAGCAAGGCCTGATCTATCCATGGCATTCTACCAGAAACAAGACATAGACCTCAAGGTGCTCAAAGATTAAGAGGAAGATGGAACTTAGAAAAGAACTGTGTAATGGAGAGGTAGTATAGGCAGTGCAATATCTTGAAGGAGAAAAATAAATGCACTGGCCAGGATAAGAATAGTGACACGGTAAGGGACCCAGAATAACTAATGCAATGTCAAGAAAGAACAGAGCTTAAGGACCCGCAGCATGTGACTGCAAAAATCACTTCAATATGTTCAGAACCCAAACAGGGCAGCACTGGCACAAGGACAGGCTTAACCAAATCTGCAAAAACCCATACATCTATGCTGACCTGCTTCCTTCCCTGCTCCCCACGCTACCCTTCCTTCCTTCCATCCTTCCTTCCTTCCTTCCTCCCTCCCTCCCTCCCTTCCTCCCTCCCTCCCTTCCCTCTCTCAGTACCTCCCTCCACCCCCCACCAGGTTTCTTTGTATAGCCCTGGGTGTTCTGGAATTGGTGGCTTTGTAGACCAGGCTGTCCTCAAATTCAGAGATCCACCTGTCTCTGACGCCCGAGTGCTGGGACTAAAGGATGTGCCATCACCAGCCAGCTTATTCTCATTTTTAAAGAAAAGATGCACTTATTTTATGTGTATGAATGCCCATGTATGTATGTGTACTGTGTGTGTGCCTGGTGCCCAATAGGGTTCCAGAAACCACATGCAGGTCTTCCCCAAGAGTAATAAGTGCTGAACTGCTAAGCCACCACTCCAGCCTCTCTTCTGATTTTCAACAAAACAACAAGTCCATCCAATAAGGGAAACTGGCTTTTTATCACTTGGGGTGGGAAAGCTGGATATCTACTTGCAGAGGTATGCAATAAATCCTCATCTCACACCACGCACAGAACTAACTCTAAATGGATTGAAAACGTAAATGTAAGAGCTGAACGTATAAAATCTTTTTGAAAAACACCAAGTATTTGGTTTGCCTTTATGTAATCTATCTTTGTTATGACACTAAGAGCACAAAAATAAGAAAAAAGATGATTAGACTTCAGCCATAGGAGGAGACATTATGCAGAATGAAAAGTCAGTCCCCAGAACGGGAATGAGTACAACACTGAGCTGTTATGGGCTCTAAAGGAACTTTCATCACTTGGAAGACTGAGGCAGCAGGCTGGTCTCCATAGTAAGTTCTAGGCCAGTCAGGGCTACATAGCAAGACCCTGTCTGAAAATGAAAACAAACAAACAAAACTCACAAAAACACAGCATAAAACAGAAATGTGTAGTGCTCATACATGGCACATTAAGATTGAACCTTGAAAACACTGTGAAGTGAGGAAATTCCAGCAGGAAAAGCTACCCATAACTGTAAGTAAAGTGTTTAGACTATTAATCTGCACAGACAGGAAGTAGACTAATGGCAGTCAGGCAACAGGGTGGGGGTGGGGATGTGTGAGGAGGTGGCTGAAAGGTACAGTGGCTGTATGGCCTCATATGTATACTAGTTCTATTACTGGGACACTTTAAAGGGATTTGTTCTGGTTAGTTTATGTCAGCCTGACTGCAGGTTCCTATCTTGAGTTCCCGCACTGACTTCCCTCAGTGACAGAGCGTGACCTGAGAGTTGTAAGCCCTTTATTACCCAAGTTGCTTTTGATCACAGTGTTTTGTCACAGCAACAGAAACCCGAATTAAGACAGGAATTATACCTTAACTTTTAGAAGGGGGACAGATAAACAGGCTCACTCTTAAAAAGGCTGAACTATTTGGACAGACCACAATGGGAAGAGAATTCTAAGCAGAAGGGTCAGAGTGAGGGAGGGCATGGAAACCAACAGAAAGCAGAGCACACTTAGGTCATTGGAACCAGCTCAGACCTGGAGTGCAGGGTGTTTGCACAGGAGCAATACAAAATGCAGAGACTAGAGATCCAAGGTACTGACAGGAAACATGGCAACTTATTTATTACTTATTAAGTCTCATATGGCAACTGAGAAGGACTCAGAGCTTGCCTTAGCTTCCCAACAACAATGTGACCAGTTGCTGGGCTCCATCCACCTTATGAAGGAGCCTCCTGCCCTCACCCCAGAACCAGCCCTGGCTCTACTACATTGCAAGTCCACTCCATACTGTCCTCACTATTTATGAAACATATCTATATTCTATTGGTTATGTCTTCAAGCACAGCATACACTTGAAGACAGCCTTGCCTGAGTCCAGAGTACTACGTGACTTCCTAAAGCAGTGAATGAGATTGGTAATTTTGACAAAAATGACTTTGCTAACTTAAAAATTTGGTATCCATTGCAGTCCTGTTTAAAGCCTCCTCATCTGTCACAAATTCGTTTGAGAGAACTGAACCATGTCCTATCCCCCGCTGGTTTCTCAAATGCTGACTGCTGGATTCCACTTTTGTCCTATGGTCCCAACTTTCACTCACCACAGTGCTCTGCACATTCTGCTCACGTCTCCCGCTTCCGCGTGCGGCTAAAACACCTGGAGACAATGCCTATGCCTTTCCCAGGCTTGTGCTTCAGCAGCAAATAATGATGGAGTCAGAGACAGAATCACCATCACTAAGGTTTAAAGAAACCCCATGAAACAGGATGCAGACACTAACGAGCGGTGCATACAGAGTCAGTCTGTGACCACTGCCATGTTTACTTTAATCACACGGGTCTCATTTTGCCAAAACTCCAGAAGACTCAGGCAAAAAGGATGGCTTTCCAACTGCTATGCTCCCAAACCTACAGTTTCCTATGATATAAACACAAGACTCTGGAGGTATGGTTGATATTTGCTGGTGTGCATCTGGGGAGAAATGGATGGTGAGGAAGGGGAACTTGAGGGAAGTCTGCCTAATGAACTGACAGCTCATATAAGCAACACCTGGAGTGTTAAACCCATTCCATGTGTTATTTTACTGAGAAAAAAAAAAAAAAAGATTCCACTCTTCCTTTGGTTGGTGTAAAAAATCTTTTGGCAGCTGTGTTCCAGGCTGCGGTGTGTGGCAGTTCAGGAGATGGCAGCTGGGATGGATCATACTCAGGACGTGCATAAAATCTTCATCAGTGAGGGAATAGCTAGACCCCAGGGTAAGAACCCTCACAAGACTAGCCTTCAGCTCCTGTCTACGGTGTGCGACTGTGGATCCAACCTGCAGATCCCAGTTAGGCACAGGATTGGCCTAGAGAACCGGAACTTTGGAACATCAGCTGCTTCATAACTTCCTCATCACTCCTTAAAACCCCAAAGCCAAAGTTTTGGTTTTAATCCTATTTTTGTTAAATAGTTATAATCTACTTGAAAGCCAAATTCAGACCAAATGTCTGCTTCCTGAGGCATGACATTCCTCTTGTCAAGAGGGAGAACGAAGGCTTTCTGAGCACTTGACTGGCACCACCAGGCGCTCTTTGCTGTCCACTCTCACAGCTCTGGGAGGCAGCCAGCCAGATGCATTGCACACAGAGGAGATGGGTCTGCACAGGTTCACTCATCTGTGCGGTGCTTTCAAAAGGAAAACCAGAAAATGTAGGTCTGTCTGACCCCAGTGTCAAGGCTCTTCCCACTACCCTCTGTCATAAATTCTGCCTACATTCCCCAGACAAGTGAGTCTTCCAAGAGTCCATGACTAGATAGAGGCGTTGGCAAGTCTTTGCTGGACAGGTCAGCTAGTCAATGCTTTTGCTTTGTAGGCTATAAGGTCTCTGTTATAACCAATGATTTCTAACAGTTGCAGCACAAAAACAGCCATAGATGGTGCATAAGAGAAGGCACATGGCTATGTTCCATTAAGACTTACAGGAACAAATTGTGGGCCACATTTGGCCGCAGGTATGGTCTGTTGTCCCTTCCTCTACAAGGCTTGTTGGGCTTGAAAATCAACAAAGAATTGCCTACTTTCTACTTAATCTATAAACATGAAGTCTTCAATATGGTCTAGGCACATAAGGAATACTCCTGTTCTTTTTTGAGACAGAGTCTTCCTGTGTAATCCAGGCAGGCCTTGAATTTGAAATCCTCTTGCCTCAGCCTTCTACATCCTGAGATTAAAGAGTCACTATATTCCTTAGGAATTTACATTCTTTGGGGAGAAAAGACAGGCATATAAAACCCCAAATAGCAGCACATGGTGAGCATTTTACTAAGGGCCATAGGGGCTGAGGATAAATTAAAACCAGAGTCTACCACGTGATCTAATCACCAAAGCTCAGGAAAAGCAGGAACCTCTCAGTGGGCAAGACTGGGCAACCGTCGGGAGTCGCTGCTGTAGAGCTCACCAAGCTGCTCACCCCACAAGAGGACAGACAGGTTTCAGCAGGAGCCAGATGCTGACCCAAGAACCCATCTCCTTCAGAAGACTCTCCCCACCCCAGCCCCACCCCACAAAAGGGCCAGTGATAGCCCCAGGTGCCAGGTATAGTGAGCATAGCAGGAACTCTGGGAGGCCTCCTCTGTCCCCTCAGCTGACACTAAGTCAGAACACATAAGGGAAGGCATCACAGTCACTCTGGTAGGAGGCCAGCTCCTAAAAACCTCACCTTGCTCATGGCAATCAGGGCAGGATCACAGGCTGCATCCAGATCCTGAACCAACAGCTGGATGCTGCTAGAGATGACGCTGTAAAGACACAAATGTTGTGCTTACTGCTCCAAAAAGTGACGGACGGGATGATGGGCACAGCCCCCTATAGGTGTTTTCAACCTGTGTGCAAAACTTAAATTTGTCATTTCTTTATGAAATTTTGGGTTTTGATCACTGAAAATGGAGGGACAGCTGGCTCTTCATGTCCGGTTCTTATTTGGGTGTGTCTTACCCAGTTAGGACCCAAACTTCCATGGCTACTTCCATAACTGCTAACCCTAGAGTCTCTTTGAGTTCCCCTCCAAAAGCATCTGTTTAAGTCAGAATGAGGAGGAGGAAGAGGAGGAAGAATGGGGCACTGCTTCTCATGGCTGGTAGAGAATGCCCAGGCAACACTTAGATTCTGCAGGGACTGAAGCACACACTGCTTGTGAGGAAGAAAGACTGGCCTGGGGCAAGCACCTGGAAGGTACGTACGTGCTGAATGTGTCCATTTCTCCTGTGAGATTAATTCGTTCAGTCAGACTTACATCAACTTTTTCTTTGAGTTTTTCTTCTAGCTGTTAGAGAAGGAATGAAGAAGAAGCAAGTTTAATGACTACCCAAAGGTGTTCTACGGAGGCTCAAAGGGACAGGTCCAGGCACAACATGGGACACGTTTAATTCTCACCAGGATGTGAGGGAAGTCCCATCACCCTCACTTCACAGATGAGGACTGCAGTAGCCAACCCAAGACAGCAGGTGGTAGGGCCCAAATCAGCTTCCTAGAGCCCAGCTCCTTTGGCTACACCTTGGGCTTACTTCTAATGGCATATCAATAGCTCCTGTGGCTTGTTCTCCACAGGCTCCTGCTCTGAGCATTTGGTCCCTGGTGGCAGTGCTTTTCTGAAGGCTGTGGAGCCTTTATGAGTCAGAGTCTAGAAGTTAGAAGCTGGATGAGAGCTTTAGAAAGTTACAGGAAAGCCCTGCTTCTGGGCCATGAGCCTGCAAGGAGCCTCTTCATGCCCTCAGAGCCAGGAGAACTGGGCTCCTTCCCATTGCCATAGACTGCAGTAACCTCTCCTCCCTTTAGTTGTCTCTGTGAAAAGTAATATGGTCTCCCTGCATGCCCCGTGAAATGTGAGTGACAGTACAAGCAGCAGAAATGTTTGCCAAGTTTTTCTATGGCCACTACCTTGCCAAGGTGCCAGATGTCTCAAGTGGTGAACTAGAAATACATCTTCACCTTGGTCAGCTTAGGGCTTAGGGTAGGAACATACTCCTGAGCCTTGGAGGAAAATACAATTGATCAGGATCTGGGAGGACCTACAATGCCCTGGGAATTGATAAATCTAGCACTCCTAAATCAATCACACTCACTCTAAGAAAATGAAAGCTCTGACTAAAATTTGAAGTGCTCTTAGAGGACCAGAGAGATGGTTCAGTTCACAGCACCTACACGGTGGCTCACCACATCCTGTAACTCTAGTTTCAGGGGAACCATCACCCTTCTCTGGCCTCCATGGGCACTGTATGAATGTGGTGCACATAAATCACACATATTAAAGAACTTAAAAACAAAAATGTCCTTAAAGGTGTGCAAATGAGGGTAACCTTTTTAGAAGGCAATATATAAATGGAATCTGCAATTTCACATTTAGAAATGCATTTTCATAAAACAATGTGAATAATGTACAGAGTTATGCAAGGATTCTAGGCAGTGTTTAATTCCACCGCTACTGATGGAAGCCTGTTTTGTGCCAGGCTATCTAGAGGGGTGAGGGGCCATTCAGAGAACTCAATCCTGCATCTGTAAAGTTCAATTCAGAAGGGTTTTTATTACATTCCACACCCCCCCCAAATGCCCCTGCTCATCCTTCTGAACATGTCCCATTTTCTTGCCCTTCCAGCTCCTCTCTTGGCATCTGTTTCTTCTCCCACACTTACCACAAAATGGTAGTGAAACCCTGGCTTGCTTGCTTGTTATCTGTTTTCCATCAGTCTGAGGCTCCTGACAAAGATGCCTGGCCTCTCTGTGCCATTACCAAAGGCAGTGCCCGGTACAGGAAGTGTCTGGTAAAGCTCTCTTGAAGCTCTGAGTCTTTTCTTCCACCTCTCAAAGATGGAGAGATTTTGTTCAGTACAAGTGTGCACCACCACCCCCAGTTTAAGTGGAGCTAGGGATGAAAGTCAGGGCTTCATGCATGCGAGGCATAGAGATGCCACCCTGCCTGCTCAGCCTGGAACCAGTTATTTCTCCAGGAATCTCTGTTTCTTCTAAAGTAATGTGGCATTCAGACATCCCATAGGTGGCTAAGAATCCATGCACTTTTACAGTCAGTAAAATGATTTTCATTAAAAAAAAAAAAAACAAAACAGCTGCACAAGTCATCAAAATGGTCTCTGGTTTATTCAGACTTCTAAAATACCTAAGAATCTGTTCTAGAAACACAACATAAAACTTTTAGGATACTATATTCAGAAAGATGGTTTTGTAAGATTATTTATAGAAGCAAAACTTTAAAGAAGTACAACAACAAGGCTATTATTAAATATTCACTAATCCTTTAATGGGATATTACATAGTCATAAATAGTGGTAATAATAAAGACAACTTAGTAACAGGAGAATGCTAAGATACTAATACTAATAATAAAAGGATATAAAAGTGAGCTAAGACAACTACATACAAAGCCATGTTTATAAAATAACTCAAGCTGTTAATGTGATTACTTGAGGATGATGGCATTATGAGCAGGCTTGGGGGTATGTGTGTATGTTTTTGAAGGTATTTTATTACGTATTTTAAGCAAGGTGTTTAAGAAGAAAGGGAGTCACAGCTGAGAACGTGGGCCAGGTTATGAAAGGAGTCCTGAGTGCAGAGCTGTCTGTATGCTACTCTGGTCACTTCACTTTTAAGATTCTGTCTTAAGTCTGGCAGGGTGGCACACACCTTTAATCCCAGTACTCAGGAACAAAGGCAAATGAGTCTCTGTGAGTTCTGGACCAGCCTGGTCTACACACTGAGACCCTGTCTCAATCAAAGAGACATCAAATGTCTTTCTCGTACACTCTAAATGCCTATGTTCCTTATGAGGGGCTCAGGTGTGTGTGTGTGTGTGTGTGTGTGTGTGTGTGTGTGTGTGTGTAAAACTCTGGCTCCAAGGCTAAAGTGCTCTTCAAGTATGTATGTGACCATGCCACAAAGCAGAGTGTGCTACTGCCTTGGTCTCAGCATTTGGGCACAGCTGGCTGACCCACAAGGAGTCTGTGGAAACTTCCTGTGTTCACACCCTGACACAGGGGGTCCAACCTGTCATGTCTGAACTGCCCCCTATGACTGACTTTTTAGACGCTTATTTCCTAAGCATCAACATCAGGAAGAGCAGAGCTCTCCCAGGTCACTGTCTTGCTCTTAGCCTCAGGGGGACCCCAGGCCAAATGGGAAAAAGAGCCTCTAACCCTGTGGAAGGCTGAGTGGCTCCTCCTTCTGTAAAGTTAGTTTGCCTTCTGGGGGTGGCAGCAGAGGCCCCATCCTTTCTGCTTCACAGTCAGCATCTCAAACAATGGTTGTTATGGTGGACAGAGAATGCTAGAAAATGTCAGGAGACACATAAAATCTCGAAGGACTCTGCTTACTAACACAGCTAAGAATGGAGTCACTGGGTAACTCACCCACCAAAGGCTAGGCCTGGTACCCCAGAGGGAGTTTACTGCTGCTTTTTTCATGAGGGACACTGTGCTACTGACCTACTTTTGAGAGGTCCTGCCTGGTTGGTAGCTTACATAACCTGAGGGTGGAGGCTGGCCGTACTTCTGTAAGCTAGCTCCTGGGGCATCTCTGACTACATGGTGAGTTTCTTCCCATGAGACCCATTGGCCTGCCCAAGGTCAGTGTGGTGGAGCTTAGTGGAGCTCCTGGGCCCACTCCAGCTCAAGCTGAGGGCTCTGGGAAGGCAGCACGCTCGGCTGGGTGCTTACCTGCTGGGTGGTGGCCAGACAGTACTCAGCCGTGCTAAGAATACTGCAGATGAGGCACAATTCCTCCAGGGTGAACCTGGCCACTTCCGAGCCCTCCTTCTCTTTGAGGAGGCTGCTGATAGTCAGTCCCCCACTGCTGCTGCTGGTCCTGAGGAGAAGGACAGGAACTAGTCAGGCTACAGTCCATAATTTGCTTCCTGAAGCTGGACAATTAATGACAAAGAAGAAAGAGGAGGAAGGGCTGGCGGCAGTACAAATAAATCAACACACAATGGGTTCCTTTGCTCCTGACGTTCATTACCTTGACTGTCAATCTGTTAGGACCTCTCACCCACAGGAACAGGAAGAGACAACGCCAAGAGAGAGCCAGCAAACAACCCTCATGTGCATGATCCCATTCTCACCAAGGAGGCAGTTGACCTAGCGCCTTGCTTGGGATTCCCCTGAGGTGCAGATCTCTCTTGGGGGTCATCTGTAGCACAAAAGCTGCTTCCCCATCCATCTTTCTCAGTTAAGACATGTACATATGACGCTCACAAGTGAACAAGCAGAGTAAGACAGTCTAACAGTGCACATGTGTGCCCATGCACACACAGGCAAAGAGCAGAGATTGACACTGGGTGTCTCCTCTACCATTCTGTATCCTGTTTTTGAATACAGTCTCTCACTAATCCTGGAGCTTGCCAGAGTTGGGCTGCCTGGCTGCCACTGAGGTCCCGGAGTCCTCTTGTCTCTTGCCTCCTAGTTTTGTGATTACAAGTGAGTGCTGCCAAATCCAGCTTTGCACGTGTGTGCTGGGGATCTGAACTCGGGTCCTTATGCTTGTGCAGGAGGCACTAATCCACCCATATCTTTAAACATAAGACTGTGCATACAGCATTAGTGGCTATGGAAGACAATGGGGGAGGGTGGCGAGCTTGTCTGCCTGTCACTCAAGGCATGAACATACTGAACAGAGACATTGTCTCTGCTACTGAATAACTTTTTTTTTTCTGTGTTGAGTCCATGTACATTGAGTACATATACATAATAGGCCTAACTCAGTGATGAACTGTGACCTACACTGGTGGATGGGGAACTGTTGTAGAATATTATTTTAAGATGTGTTACAACTGTTTATGCTATGGAACATTTGTTAATAATACAAAGATGTGTTGCATTCTTTTATGTTGCCTTTGTTTAACTCTGTAAAGCTGTGTACTTTGCCTGTCTAAAACACCTGATTGATCTAATAAAGAACTGAATGGCCACTAGCAAGGCAGAAAAAAAAGACAGACAGGGGGCAGAGAGAATAAATAAAAGAAGAAATCTGGGAAGAAAAAAAAAAAAAAAAACTGAGGAGCAAGAAAAGGAGGACATTAGGGTCCAGCCACCCAGCTACACAGCAATCCACAAAGTAAGAAACAAAGAAAGGTATACAGAAATAGAGAAAGATAAAAGCCCAGAGGCAAAAGGTAGAGGGACTAATTTAAGAAAAGATGGCTAGAAACAAAAATAAGCCTATGTGTGACTTATTTGGGAGCTGGGTGACGGCCCACCAAAGAGCCAAAGAGTAAAAAAAAAAAAAAAAAATCAAAACAAAACGGCTATGGGGAAATGCCTGCTGACAGTCACGGTTAGCTGTGGGCTGTCATTAAAGGAAGTGGCAGCGCAGTGCATCAGGCCCTTGGGAGCCCAGGAGGAGTGCTCTCCTCTTCAATACTCTTAGCTCAGTGAACTCCAGAGTGGCTTTCCTTAAAGACTGCCATGTTTAGAGATGCTGAGAGTGAGGAGACCAGGACTCACTTGGGCAGGTTGCCAGAGAGGGTTTTCCAGGCGTATTCTCGGAGGTACTTCTGGAAGATGGTGGTCAGGGCGACCATGGGCTCCCCAGTGCTGAGCTGTGAGCACTGCACCATACACTTCTTGTAGTAGACAAAGAGGTCAGCGCAGCTGGGGAGTACAGCACCCCCTTCATCGGTGTTAGGCTTCGGTGGGCCCTGGGCTTTGAAATCTGCCACAAACCGGTCTATCAGTTCACTGAGGTTTCTAGAAGAACAGAAATGTTGTTTCACTTGGAGAGATCAGGCAGGGGTGCTGTGTGCAGTGGACATGAGCTGTTGCCACAAGTGCTCATTCCTGGTGCTACCCAAACTTACAAGTGGGTGCATTTTATCCATGTCACCACTAATTTCCCTATTAAAAAAAAAATGACAGCAACAAACTCTGACATTTGTATGTACACTGCTGTGTTCCAAGGTATTTCATCATCACATCTGACCCCAGGGCCCTGTGAGAGACAGAGCACTGCTCCTCCTCTAGAAGATGAGAAAACTGACACCTAAAACTCTGTCACAAAACTGGGTGACAGAGCTGAGTGGAGAACCTGCCACATAAGCACATACCCCAGAATGTTGAGCACCAGCTGTCATTTTCACAAATCAAAGCCCTAAACACCAACGATGGTGACCATTTCCTAAACATGCGGTGACCCAGGAGTCATAGCTGTGCTTTATAGTCACGTCATGGAACTCAACATTAACATTTGGAGGGACTGATTTTACTATCCCCTTCTCCAAAAGCCAGGCACAGAAAAGTTAAGCACTTTGTTCAAGACAAGCAAGGGAACCAGGATGCAAACCCCAGCAGCCTGGACCCAAGCTTCATGCTTTTTAGCAGCCTATGCACAGGTTCCGATGCCTGCCGTGATGGTTGGAAATCCCTAGAATTGTCCAGTCCAAGCAAGTCCTTCCTTCCTAAGGTGTTTCTGCTAAATATCTTGGCACAATGGCAAGAAAAGAAACAAACACGAGTGAGGAAAGCATGGTCTAACTTGGCTTGTCTAATCTTTTGAGAAAGAGTTCTTCCTATGTGAGAAACTTTAACATTTACCAGGACGTTTCATAAACTTACTTATTTTTTAATATAATGTTATTTCCTTTTATATTTTACACATGGTTACTGGTATAAAGGCCAATACTTCATACGTTTATCATAAAGAGAGAAACCCCTCTAACATTGTAAGTTATAATAAATTGAGTTTGTAAACTTAAATGTGTCTAAGTATGGGAGGATGACTAAAAAGAGAGATTCTGTTTAAACACCAAATGCCTTCCTTAAGATGAACAATTTGAACAGTTTTTTTCTTTTCTCTCTCTCTCTCTCTTTTTTTTTTTTTTTTTTTTTAGTTTTTTGAGACAGGGTTTCTGTGTAGACCATGCTGGCCTCAAATTCACAAAGATCTGTCTGCCTCTCTCTGCCTCCCAGTGCTGGAATTAAAGGCATGTGCCACCACCCAGCCCGGTTTTTTTCTTTTAGCTTCTAGAATCAAAGATGCAAAATATCTTGGGATAAGAGTGGCTAGGAACAGCTCTAGGCCTGCCTGGTCATGGTGGTGATGGTGGCTATGATCTGTCTCCACTTTCCCAGTCAAACATCTTCAATTTGCCCCAGTCACCCTGAATCATCGGGAGCTGGAATCTAGCAGGGCTGACTGTCCTCTGTACAGCTGTGCTGTGTGGACAATGGAAGGCCCCATTCTTGACATGTGGCACCTTTTTAACTTGCTGGCTAAGGCTACAAGAATCCAGCTGTGTTTTAAAAATATATTTATACAACAGGGAGAAAAAGGCAAGAACCACACACAGCATTGATTAGCAGGAATAGGAAACAATTGACATTTTACTCCAGTGCTTTTGTTACTCAAAGTTTATGATATCCAGATGTGGCTGCTTCACCCAGGCTAGGTCTCTGCCTGTGAAGAGAAGGGCCTCTTTAGTTACCCCAGGAAAAGTCTTGGTCACCACCCCCATTCTGCACAAACTCTTCTTGCCCTACTTTCCCATGGACCTTCACAAATCTATTGTGCGGCAGGCCTCTGTGCCAGCCAGGTACCTAGGCCAGTCACCTTTTTGGCTGTATTGTGGGCCTTCACCTGTCACCTGCTGGCCAAAACACCTTCCCTCTAGCTTCCTAGGCCTAAACCTCATTGCACAACTCAAACAATATCTGACCTCTCAACTGAAACTGCCATCAACAGCCATTCACTGTCACATGATTTGTTTTTGGTTTGTCCTTCTGTTTTAAGACAGGACCTACTCTACAGCCCAGGCTGGCTTTGAATTTACAGCTCTCCTCCTGAGTGCTGGGTTATAGTGTATGTTATATAGCTAGCTCTTACTATATTTTTTTTTTTTCCAGATAGGGTTTTACTATGCAGCCCAAATTGGTTTGAAACTTGTGATCATACTGCCTCAGTCTCCCCAGTGCCAGAATGACATGTATGTGCCACAGCATCTGATTTTAGCACTTGAGTTAACACTTTAGTGTATGATGCATCAAGCTTTTCCTGCCCTGGTACACAGTAGGTGATGTGAATCAATAGGGCCTTTCCCTGATCTACAATGTAATTCCATATTACTGGGGATAGTACTCCACCTAGTAGCTGGAGGCAGCTGCTATTTGACCGCAGGAAGATACCATCTTCTGTACCACTACTGCATCTCCATTGGGGGGTGGGGTGTTGTTCATGTTCCCTCAGTCCACTGTGCAGGCTGGTGTGGCAGGCTAATTAACCTTCATGTCGGTACCCAATGCATGCTAACTGATCACCCTCCACATTTGGTCCCTAGGGATAGGAACAAAGCAGTACAGAAGTAGGGATGGACAGCAGGTGAGGCAGTGGAGGAGGAGGTAAAATGTAAGGCAAAGAAAGCATTAGAGTCTGCTGAGGAGTCTTAATCTCCACACAGATGGTGCCAACTGAGGCAGAGCTGGGAGTGATTTTACTGTAATCAATCATCTATCCCTGGTACCATCACTATCCTTACCTACTACCTATTTCAGAGTCAACCTGATGAGTAAGATTACAATTAATTATGATCATACCACATTGAGAAATTGTTCACAAAAAAAGCCCTTGAAAGATCTACATTTTATGGACTGTCCACCAAGTTACTTTTGACATTATAAAAGTCACATTCCTGGTGAGAGGAAGCTTCCCTATGCCCTGTTCCACTCCACACTGGCATGCATCCATGTCACAGAAGGCATGAGGTAATGAGCTTTGCAAAGGAAGAGAGGAAGGGCCCAGTGGGAATCTGTGCGGTTTACTGCTTATGAAGTGCTGAGCCAGTCCAGCTAAATATCAACCACACACTCACTGTGTGTGAGACTCGAGGGCTGTAGGGTAAAAATAAATTTAACTCAAAAAAAAAAAAAAAAAAAAAAAAAAAAGGTTATCACTGCTTCCAGACATTTGGCAAGATTTCATGCAGAATTAATGGAGACAGGGATGTGTGGCACAACAATCTGTAGATTCGAACCATGAGGAAGTCTTTTCCACCCAAAAACAAATACAAGCAAGTAAGAGTTTACAAATGGTCAAGTCCTGATCAGGGGTCTGTGGAGTGTTGAGGCTCCATGAATGCTTAGACAGTGTCAAAATGCTAAGTCAGAGCAAGCTGCAGAGAGAGTCTACAGCAGGTTCAGGGAGAGAACAAAAGCATGCTCCAGAGGTGAGAGATAGAACTGAGAGGTCATCCTTAGTTACATAATAGGGTCAGGCCAGCCTGGGCTACATGAAATCCTGTCTCAGAAGCCATAAACTACGTGTGAAGAAGACATGACGGAGAGGAAGAACTTGGCTGAGGGTGGAGATGCAGAGTAAAAAGTGTCTAACCTTGAGTGCAGCAGTAATATCCCTCTGAATTATCACCGCAATCCCTTCAGATCTGTATCTTTTTTTAGATTTTATTTATTTTATGTGTTTGTCTGCATGTATGTCTGTGTAACATGCAGTACCTGAGAAGGCCCGAAGACGGTGTTGGAACCCTGGGGATAGAGTTATAGATGTTGTAGCCCCCCACCCCCACCCCGTGAGCGGATCCAGTGCTCTCACTCACTAATGAGCCAACTCTCCAGCCCCTCGTGTCTTAAATGCTGCATAATACAGCTTATAAAATGTGTAATAAATACAATCTCATTTATTCATCCCAAAAGCTTTGGAGCTTTAAATTGAAGGTGTTATTGTTGTTTTAAAGGGGAAGAAACCAAGGTTGGTACTTGATCATAAATTTACTGAGAATGACTTGATTTCAGGTGTTCCATTGTCCCATGCTCTGACCTCAGGTCCATGGAGCACTATACAGATACATATGCCATGCTATTGTTCCTGACTCCCTAGCTGAGAGAAACATGGATATGTGGTTTCTTTCTCTCTCTTCTTTGTGGCTTGAGCTTTGTCCCCAAGAATGGTGTGAGCATTTGCAGGTTTCACATGATACACTGTTGGAAGTTCTGGTGATTAAGTTAAAAATCTATAAGGAGTGAAGAGTATTACAGGGTGACATCATAAGGAGCAGATTATTACAATGTGGGAAAGGATTAAAACAATGGAGAAGCAATCACCTTCACTGCAGACTTCTTAGCACGATATCTGCTGATGGATCTGCAGTCAGCATTCAGAAGTAGTAAGTCACACTTGAGAGCAATGTAGCAGCAGCACCGAGAGGAGATGACCCAGGAGTGCCACAAAGATCAGCAAGCACAAGCACACTCTCAGGGCTTCACCCACTAACACACACCCTTTGCACTTTTCTTGGGCTGGCTGTGGACTTGGCTCTGGGGTGAGTAGTGTGGGTGGGAGAAATGGGGAGATGGGCTGTATATGGACAAACAGAGGAAGCAAGTAAATGTAACAAGGATGCCAGGAGCCACACACACTTTTTGCTATTGTGTTACCGAAGGCAGTTATCAGCATGGGATCCCCTGTGGTGTTAAGTTAGAATGGAGGTCTTGGCATGAACCCACAGGCTTTAGTGTATAGTAGGGTGTGGATGCATTAATGTTCATACAGACACTAATTTCTTGGTTCTCTCAGCTGAGTGCCCGCAGCAAAGGTACCCAGTAGCACCCAGCTCAGTCACACCAGAGCTTGGTATCTGTAGTTGCTTCACACAGATGGAAATGGGGAGTCTGGTTGCAAACATAATCCTAGGGCTGGACTTGGAACACAATATAAGCCTGGTGCATTTTATTGCGCAAAGGAGAGTTTTCAGGAAATGATAGGGGCATACAAAAAAGAGCTCACGAGGCACACACTGGCCCCATCACATGTAACCTGAGCATTGAAATGGCAGATCCTAGAAAGAAAGGGGGCAACAGGGGGAAAGCTGGCAGGAACCGGCCAAGGCCTGGAGGTTGGTAACAGTACTGTACTGACTTTTAACTTCCACGCTTTGTTGTTTGGGTTTCGAGACAGGATTTTGCTATGTAGCCCAGGCTTCTGTCTTGCATCTGAGAGTTGCATAAGCATCTGCCACTCAACACACATTACGTGTTAGTTTTGATAACTTTGCTATGGCTATGTAAGACATTAACATTAAAGAGGGTGTAGGGTATGGAATATGGGGAAATCTGTATAATTTTTCTAAAAATATAGATAAATTCTAATATAAAGAAAAAAGGGTGGGAGATAATCCACTGAATAAAACCAGAATCTGTAAGTCATATTTACACACACACACACACACACACACACACACACACACACCATGGATATATATGACATATATAAAATCAGGAAAAAGTAAAAGCTTTTTCCTGCATGGTGGCATACTCCTTTTATCCCAGCACTCAGAAGACAAGAGGTACACAGATCTTTAAGTTAGAGGCTGTGAAATCAGCACAGAATAAACCCAGATTCCTTGAATGTGGTGTTAGTTGGGAGGACTGGGAAGTCTATGGGGCCTCTGGCAGAGGATCAGTATTTATCCCTAGTATACGAATGGCCTTTGGGAGCCCATCCCACATAGAGGGATACTCTCTCAGCCTAGACACATGGGGGAGGGCCTAGGCCCTGCTCCAAATGATATGACAGACTTTGAAGACTCTCCATGGAAAGCCTCACCCTCCCTGGGGAGCAGAAAGAGGATGGGATGGGGATTTGTGGGGGGAATAGGGGAGGACAGGAGGGTGCAGGAACTGGGTTTGACATGTAAAATAAGCTTGTTTCAAATTTAAATAAAAAAATTATAACACACACACACACACAACCTGTATGTTGCAGGATATTTGATCATACTGTGAAGATGTGTCACTGTTTTACCTTACCTGCCTAGGCATCTTCTGATTGGTTCAACAAAGAGCTGAATGGCCAATAGCTAGGCAGGAAAGGGTAGGCCAGACTTCCCAGGCAGAGATAGGAACTCTGGGAAGAAAAGAGGCAGGATTTGCCAGCAAGACACTGAGGAAGTGTACTGTACTGAGCAGAGTTAACAAACCATGTGGCAGAACACAGATGAATATAAATGGTTGAGTTAAGTTATAAGAGCTAGTTGGAGGAAAAGCGTAAGTTAAGACCAAGATTTTATAATTAATAAGAAGCCTATGGTATCATTATTTGAGAGCTGATCGTCCAAAGAAAATCTGACTACCCCTTACATCTGTGTTATTCTTCTGGACTAAATTAAGTACAACTGTGACCCTGGGATTAATCCTGGATCTATTTAAGAAAATATGATCAGGGGTTGGAGATGTGGCTCAGTTGGTGGAGTGCTTACTTAATTAGCATGCACAAAACCCTGTACCCTATTCCCAGGTGGTACAGCACATACCTGTAGTCAGGTTTAAAAGGCCAAGGGCAGGATAGTGATGGCTCAATCAGTATATCTCTATCTCTGATCACATGAGTCTTTAAGCTGCTTAACAGCGTGGCTAAAATTAAAGTGGCAGCTGGCCCCACCCTATTCCTTGGCTTTCTGATAGTCTAGCTTCACAGTGGTGGGAGCCATGCTTATTGCCACAACTCTGTGGAGTTTCTAGGTTCATGTCACCACCAAGTAGCATTCTGCCAGCTGCTTGTAAACAGCCTTTAATTGTTTGGTAGCAGGGCCTCTTAAAAGAGCCATGCAGTTTTTGCCACTAACACTGAGTCAGGAAGCCTCTCTTACAAGTTTGCATCTAGCAAACAGAGCCCACCTAAGAAAATACTGCTACCCAGAAGCAGTACTTGATTCTGTTCTTTTGTTCTCAGAATCCCTTTTTAAGCGTTTGTCAGGTTTCACATGGAAATTCTTGCCCCGCGTTGTGGGCACCATTTGTAGACAGAGTTTCTGTTCAGCCTGGTCCTGCTGCCCTTCAGTCCCAATAAACACACAGAGAGAAGAAAGGCAAAGGGGGCCTTCATGTTTCCCGGAGAACGACCCTAAGGGCTTCCTCGCAGCTGTAGTGTTTTCTGTGTGTGTTCTCCTGTGTGAGTTGCAATGTCTTCCTATGTATGCTCTTTGAGACCTTGTAACCTGGTCCAGCATGTGTCCTCAAAGCCTTCCCTGTTCCAGAAACCCAACTTTTCCAAACTCTGCTGTCCAGTGACTACAATAGTGACTCTGGCCATGTATAAAGAACTGGGGATAAGAAGGGGCTTCCCTGAACAAGGGACCCTAGACCATCATCATTTTTTTCTGGCTGTGAGGAAACTGGGCTGGGAGGGGCCTGGTGTGTGAAAATGTGTGGAGTCTGTAAGTCTGTGAAAATGCATGTGTGTTACATGGATAATTCCAAGTCCATAATTGATACAAACACAAGGGAAAGAAGGGAGAACTTCCCTACAGTAGAATTCCAATTAGAAAGTGGAGAAGCAATGATGGAAACAGAAAGTCAACCTTAGGCAGTGAGAACTACAGGCAAGAATCGTCAAATCCTGCTAAAATGAGCCAACAGAATGACAAGAAATAGGATGCTCCCACATTGTCAAACCATTCCCTGCAAAACACTTAAAGAAACAAACAAACAAAAACCCGAAAAAACCAAAACTATAACTTAACAGTGGAGAAGGCTGGCAGGCTTCACCTTAGCTAACAGAGTCAATACCAGCAGTTGACTGACATCAAGAATGCAACACCACTGATTTTGTTGTTTGGGAACATGGTCACATATGCAGCTCAGGCTGGCTCCAAACTTGAATTGTTCTGCCTCCATCTCTATAGTGTGTGCTATCATGCCAGCTCATAACTTGGGTTTAAGGAAGATAATATATTAATCATTATGGTGTGTGTAGTTCCAGTAGTCATAGAGCTGAGGTGGGAGGATCACTTGATCCTAGGAATTGGAAAGCAGCTTGGGCAACATAGAAACTGTCTCAAAAGAGGGGGTCTGGGAGGACACAACATCAGGCAAATGGAAATTGATGGCATCTCACAAAGCATCTGAAACATTTGGTTGGCTCTCTGACAACGTCAAGGTCAGAAAGGAAGCCAGGATTAGAGGAGACTCCAGAGACCATAGCTAATTGCACAATTAAGTCCTGGACCAGAAAAAGGAGCAATCTTACCTTTTGATTTTGATAATTATGTTTACATTAAGATGTTCACAGGATTGAAGAAGGCTAGTGGAGAATTTTTGTGCTGTTTTAAAGCTTTTTTTGACAGTCAAAATTACCTCACAATGTAAAGCCAAATATTTGAAAGCATAAACTTCAGAGACTAGGCTTTCTTATGATGTCTGGGTACCTGACACTTTGTGGGGTGCATGCAGTCAGTGCTCAAAAGCTTAGCACCCACAAGGGGTGGGGGTGGAAGGTGTTCAGTTCCACATGGAGGCTTATACAGCCAAGCTCAGGCATCTTGGATTATGAGAAAATATGCCAGCGTGGTGGCACATACCTTTAGTCTCAGTAGTTGAGATGCAGAGGCAGACAGATCTCTTATGAGTTAGCCAAGGCTAAACATATCCTGTCTCAAACAAACATATCATATGCAAAATAAACAGTTACATGCAAAAGATATAGTGATATCCTTAATGACTCTGGAAGGAGTTGTCCTTGTGTAGGACCCAAACCATCAGAGGCTAGGAATAGGAACACAGGCAGAAGATAGCAGAATGCTTGTCACTCACTTGTCCTGGGACTCAATGTACACATAGAGATGAGGCTCGAAACACTTGGAAACAATGCCATGAAATGGATTATCTGGGGCTTTGGGCTTCTTTGGCTGGAAAGAGAGAAGGGAAAAATAAGAATAAACATGAACCCTATGTTTGAGCAGCCTCTGCAAGTTTTTAAGCAATTTGAAAGAATAATCAGAGTTCACTGAGCTAACAGAGAGGAGCGTGGACACAGGGCTACATCGTGTCATGACCCACCTAGTGACTCACTACCAGGTCTTGCCGGCATCTCTGACCTGCTGTGTATGCTGAAAGGTTTAGTGCTACTCTAATATTACATATATCTTTGATTTGGAAGCTTATCATCAGCGGATGTTTTAGAATGTTAAATCCAGGTTGAATTTAAAGAACACTGTATTGGTAGTCTCTGCTTTTTGTTATTATACATCTTAATGCTAGATACCTTCTCATCTTTCCTTCACAGCCTAGGAAAGTGCTGAGCTCCTCTACCAGCCATCCCAAGGTACTTGGTCAAACTTGCTACCTCCTGCAGAGCTCCCCAGACTTTGGACTTTCATTAACAAATAAGTAAGAAGAGAGAGGGGCAGGAGGCCAACAGAGGGATTACCAACTTGTTTTCTACTTTTTACTCTCACCATTTACAGTGAGGGGGCATCTTGTCTAAGAACGTGTGGCTGGTAAACTTATGGGGGCGGGGAGGGGTGTTTAGGGAGGGTGGTACTGGAAAGTCACTGATAAACAGGTTACTTTGCAGCAATTGTTTAAAATTTTTATTTTCTCCCTAATTCATTTCAAAGTATCTAAAAAATAAGAATCTCCCTGTTACTTTCTACTCCTTAAAAATGTATTAGTCTGTCTATTGCCAGATGTCAGCAAAAGGACTCTGAGCCAAAGATATAGCGAGCTCAAATTTAACATAAGCCATGCCTGCAATACTTGCTGATTAGAACTCTTCTACTCTTTTCCTCTTTTTTTTTGTAGCTCTGGATATCAAACCCGAGGTCTTGCATACTAGCAAGCACTCTTCCATCATGTTCCATTAAATAGCATAACGAGGAACAACCACTGTACAAAAGTTGAGCTGGGCACCATGTTGTACTCCTGCTATCTCGGCACTCCAGAGCAACAGTAGCTTAAGTCTGAGGCTAGCTGAGCTACACAGCAACATACTGTCCCAGAAAAAAAGGAGGTGGGCGGGGCTAGAGATATGGCTTTATTGGTATATTAAAAAACAAAACAAAAAACTTATACAGAGGAGACACACACACACACACACACACACACACACACACAGAACGCATAATGCCACACCAAATTAAGAGAGAGGCATACATTTGTGAAACTAATCCTGCCATCAAAACTTCTCCTACCTCTCACCTCCAATTTGATTATGAATATGATGATGATGGTGATTAGTGCTAAGGGCACTTTATATAGGCCTATCCTCTTAAACTGCTTCTATCTTAATGAGCACTAAAAGAAGCTAGGCGTGGAGGCACATACCTGTAGTTCTAGCTACATGGGAGACAGAGATAGGAGAACAGTGTGAGCCCACAGCTTAAGAACAACCCTGGCAATATGGTAAGACCCTGTCTCAAAAAACAAAGTAAGGGGGCCAGTGAGCAGACAATTAGCACCAAGCCTGACAACTTGCATGTGATCCCCAGAACCCACAAAGTGAAAATGAGAACCAACTCTCACAGCTGTCCTCTGACCTCCAGACAAGTATCAAGGTATGTGCTCCCTCTCCTCCACTCTGAAATCACTGCCAAAAACCACCATCCAATGATAGACAAAAATACATCTACCTTCTTCTTAGCATCTGGTTACTTACAAACCACTGTGAAATTGTCTTTTAGCTGATGTAGTAGCTCATGTCTTTAATTTTAGGAGGATCTGTGAGTTCAAGGACATCCTGATCTATAGAGCAAGTTCTAGGACAGCCAGGGCTACATAGAGAGAAGCTGTCTCAAAACAAAACAAAACAAAAACCCCCAAATATTTAAAAATGAATAATTTTCAAAAAAAAAAAAAAAAAAAAAAGAAGAAGAAGAAATGTTGCTGGGTGTGATGGCTCATGAATTTGGGAGGCAGAAGCAGGGAGATCTCTATTGTGTTCTGGTATAGCCAAGGCTACAGAAAGGAAAAAAAAAAAAAAAAAAAAAAAGTCAACTTCACATGCTCCCTGTGATTTACAAGTGTGCACACCACATCTCGCTTCTATATGGGTGCTGAGGATCTGAACTCAAGTCTTTGTGCTTGTGTAGCAAGAATTTTACCTGGCGGGCCATCTCTCCAGACCCCATTCTATCTGTCTTCTTATTTTACTCCTTTTAATAAGGTGATTTGTTAATAATACCAAAAAATGTGATTCAATCTGTCTTCATAGGATTAGACAGCCTGACTATAGATTGGGAAAATATGGCTATGCTAGCCAGATATCTGTTCAGTGATTAAAATGTAATCATTAGTATTATTCCTTTCTGTGAGTGTATTGGGGATGTACATGTTCATGCAGGTGTGCTGTACAAGCTGGAGAGAGATATGGAGATGAGGATAACTCAGGGAGTCATTCTCAGGAGCCTTCCACCTTTTGGACTGGAGCTTTGTCAAGCAGGCTAGACTAGCTAGCTACTGGATGCCAGGGATCTGTCTGTTTCAGCCTCATCTCACATGACTGGAATTATAGGTGCTTCCCACCACACACTGCTTTTTACGTGGATTCTGGAGATCCAAATTCAGGGTGTCACACTTACAAAGGTGAGTGCTTTACTAACTAGGATATCTCCCTAACCTGTACTATCTGTCTTTTGTTTTTATTATTATCATTATTATTATTATTATTGTGTGTGTGTGTGTGTGTGTGTGTGTGTGTGTGTACGAGCGCATACATGCGCACTCAAGTGTGGCAAGAAAATGGAAGTCAGAGGATAACTCTGGAGTAAGTTCTCTCCTTCCATCTGTAACATACCCCCAGAATTTAGTAGGCCTCCAGACCTTAGTACAACTGACTCCATCATAGTACTACCATTCAGGCCATAAAACTCAGCATGAAGACACCATCAGTCAAACAAAAACAAAGGCCTAACCCATCAAAGTTTGTAGTTCTGGGAGTCTCTCAATGTACCATCCCTGCTTTTTGGCTTCTGTAGTTCTACCTCTGGCTAACTGTTCATGTTAACTAAAGTAGTTAGGCCAGGATGTGGTTTTTTGTTTGTTTTATTTTATTTTGTTTTGCTTAAAAGCTTTCCCTGAGAAAGACTCAGGGCTATCTATACTTGGATCCCTAACACTCAGTGTAGCTAGCAGCTGACTAATAAATATTTTATATTGGCTTAAACCCATGTCTAAGCAGTCATTTCTAGTGGATCCCTCACAACCCATCTTTACATGGATTCTAGGGATTGAACTCAATTTGCCATGCTTGCACAGAAGCACCTTTGCTCAGTGAGCCATCTTATTGGCTCATTTGGTTTGGTCTGAGACAGAGCCTTGCCACCTACAGCAGCCTATCCTTGTACTATGTACCTCAGGCTGGCCTTGAACTACAATTCTCCTGCTTCAACTTCTTTAGTGCTAGGTTTACAAGTTATTTATCTAGCATAATCTTCACAGGTGCTATGCATACATGGCAAGGCCACACAGAATGCATAGAAGCTGCATCACCAGACAGGCTGGTGTCCCAACTTCACCTTAGGTGACTGATCTGCCTTGTCTGTCATTGGTCCCTGTTGATGCATTTTTATCATGAGTTGAAGCAAAGTGGGGATAACAGGAGGGACTGCCCAGGTTTCTTTCTCTTACTACTTGTCCACAGAGCTGCCCCTGCCCACAGCTGCTCTATGAATGTGCTCATGTGTAGCAAGTAGGTGCTGGAATGTCTGCTCACACTGGTGTCTACCTTTGGACCAGGCAGCTCCCCAAAGAGCTGATCTGCAGCTTAAAGAACACACTAAGTCATTTAGCAGTAGCATTCAGGCTGGACTGCTGAGTGTGTGAATTCTGTCCAAATGCTGCAGATGTTTAAGCTATTTCCTCCCAGAGTTTGATGGAATAATAAAAGGTTACTGTTGTCACAGTAAGGAGGTCTGCAGCTGGTCCCATTTCCTTTTATTACTATCCAATGTAAACAGATTAAATCTAACTGCTCGGATCACCAGAAGGGTACAGAAATTCCTGATTTCTCCTCTCTCCTCCTATGCCCTCAGTCCCTTGTTTTTTATCATTGGGAATATCTTGGCAACTAAGCACCCAGATCCTCTCAAGGAGTGAACACTGCTTTTCAAGTTCATACTCCCTTCCCAGCAGCTAGGCACAAACTGAAGCAGGGAACAAGAGCTGACCTTGACCTTGGGGGCCCAACGGCCTAGCCCAGGACAACAGGTAGGGGCTCTCCCCCACACACTTAGGCTAGCTCCCTGTTAATGGTGTGGAGTTTCTTCCCTGTACCCCAAAAGCTCCTGTTCTACTGGCACATAAAAATCCAGAAGCCAAATGGCTGTTGGGAGGGAGAGTGAGACTCCATCTGGCCAGCCAGAGGAGGACATGATAGGTGCGGGGCATTAGTCACTGTGTGTTTACTACTGATAAAGAACAACCTTCGATTATGGGGACATCATCTGGGTTACAGATTTTTTTATTCATTTTGGTTTTTTTTTTTTTTTCAAACATGTAAAATATGCTTGGCCTGGAAGTCCACATACAAAGTGACGCAGAATGGAGCTGCTCTTGCTACAAGGACCTTGGTCCCTTTCTCTCCCAACTCCCTATAACTGATGGGCCATCAAAGAATTCAGTATGAGAGTCACCATATCAAGAAAAATAAAAACCCAGAGACTGATATTGAGGGCTCAAGCTTCAAGCTGAAGATCAGAAAAGCAAAGCAGCCAAGCCACTAGCTCTTACCTCTACCTCAGACTGAAATGGCAATCCTGTCTCCATGAATCCTCAGACTGCTGCCTCTCCTCAATGTGCTGGAGACAAATTCTCTAAGACTGACTTTGCTTCTTCCATTTATACCTCTCAAATCCTGGGATTAAAGGTGTGTGATCCCAAGTGCTGAGATCACCTTTGTGTGAGCTGTTTCTCTTTAAGACTGGATCTATTTCATGTAGCTCAGAGATCCATCTGCTTGTCTCCCAAGTCCTAGAGTTAAATATGTGTGCTACCAGTGCCTGGCTCTGGGGCTTGTGACTAGTTTTGCTCTCTGTACCCTCTGGCAAGCTTTAATAAGTCACAAATAATATATTACCGCAAGTCACGATGAAGACAGAAAGGAGGTTTAGAACCTAAAACCCATCTGAGACCATGTGGCTTTGAGTAGCAGACACAGGTCCAGCATTTTCCTCACCAGAGAGCTCTGCTTTTATACCTGCTTGTCCAAGATCAATGTTCACTGCCTTAGATCCAGCAGGTCTTGGTCTTACCACAATCACTTCAAGCTTTTATGAGGAGGAAAAAGCTCCAAGACAAAACAAAAGGTATGAAAGGGACTCTGTTACTTCAGGGTAATGACCAGCTATAACAGAGCATCTGAGTGATTAAACTGCATGGTTCTAATCATGATAAAGGCAGCCTATACCATGGGGGAGACAGGAGGGCCCCATACAAAGCACGGCTATACAAGGCCTTCTTCTCCTGAGCAGATGGCCCAGTGAGGGGGCATTTACAGGAAGAATGAGGCCCCCATAACCTGAGTCTTTGTTCCCACATTAAGAATTGCTCTGGAGTCAGAACTAATATTCCCATTTCTGTGCTGCCCAATGATTCCGCAGCTTTATGCCAGTTGCAGCTAGCCTCAGTTCTCTGGGAGAGACTCACAGCAACCCTTCAGCTCTGCCCATTTACTTTTGCCCATAAGCTTAATTTCTATGGGCTCCACTTTTTAATAAGACATGAACGTGTGTGCATGTTGGGGTCAGTGTGGGCTAGGAAAGGAATTCCAGCTTCTATGTGCTAGACCTAGCTGCTAGTCCCATCCCCTCCATTTCCAAACTCATAGCCCTGAGAAAACTGTTTAGCTTCTCAGAGCTGTATTTTGATCACCTGTAAAACCAGAGGGAGGCACTGTGAAATGAAATGAAAGAAAGCGTGTAAAGATTTTGAAATTATAAAGTGTCTTAAGTGCCAGGTATCTGTGTGGTTACAATTACTTAATCAATGGAACAGATACATTTAATGGTCCTTAGGAATCGTGCTATCTGACCCCTATCAGAATTCACACAACCTCACCACACTAGGAACACTGCATAGTGTGTAGCTGGGGGTTTCCTCGGGCCGGTGTCCCAGCCACCTCCCTTTGGCTGGTGTCTGGAGAGAAACAATGCCACCAAATAATCCTCTAGCAGCCAAGTGTAAAAATTAAAAAGAAGGAGCACTGATCCAGAAAGGAAATGGCTGACTTACTACTCTAACCTCTCAGCATAAAATAGCAATGAAACAAAAACAACATTCTGCAGGAAGAAGGGAGAGGAAATTTTGAGTTGGACAAAAAGTGCTGAAGGAAATTAAAAGTGCTAGTGTGCTGTGAAAAGAACTCTCCAAAGATGCCGCTGGCCACCCTGATGTTTCCAAGGCCTCCCAGTGGCTCCCATGTTGGCTTGCTCTGTCTGGAGGCCTCTCCCAGTCTATGACACTGCTAACCCCACAGCATCTCAAATCATCGTGGTGTTGCGTGAGAGGAAGGAAAGCCTGACAGACCCAGATGCTGACCGAGGCAGGCAGCTCTACCACATGGGCTGAAGAGGAGAGCCTGTGGTGCTAAATGCCGATGGGAGGCTCTTCTGCAACAGATCAGGGGCAGGAAAACTGCCCTTTGTTTTCCAACCATGCCCTCATGCAAGGCCCTCTGTAAAGCCCACTACCACTGGGATCTCTGAGTGTGGTCGCTAGCCAAAAGTCCCTATGTGAAGAGAAGAGAAGCAGCGTAGCTTCACAAAGGTGCACGAGTCAGTTACAACTACAACACAAGCAGACTCACCTGCTCTAGCTCCCCTTTCTCCAGCGCCAGCTCCTCCATCTCTGGTGCTGTCTCCTCTTCCAGGAAGGGATTGGTAGATGGTGGTGGGGACTCCAGTTTTTTCTATTAAGACAGGAGAAAAAGGTTATTTTTCTGAGCATGAGCCTTGCCAATGACCTACTTTATCCAGCTCTTCCTAACAGCTGGATCATTGGATCCGTCCTCATAACGAGAATAGAGGCACAGGGACCACACTCTCATCTGCATGTCTGCATATCCCTCCTCCACTTCCTAGAACCTGCTCTGCCCACCCTACTCCAATTTTTTTTTTTTTTTTTTAATGACAGGACCTCTCTAAATAGCTCTGGCTGTCCTAGAACTCACTATGTAGACTAGACACCCCTACTCCAATTCTAATTTGGCTAAAACTCTCACTCATCCAGAGGTCCCTTCTGGGAAGCCTTCCTCTTCTGTCAAGTTTGGGCTACATGCATGTCCTTTATGGATACTTATGAAGCTGAGCATAAATGTCTACTGTAACCCTAATGTTACAAGGTAGAGACAGGCGGGTCACAGGAGCTTGCTGGCTAGCCTAGCTGAAAAAGTAAGTGACCCTTCAAGGGAATAGGCTTAGAAAGAATTCCAACATCTTCCTCTGGAATCTACATGTAAATATACACACCTGCATACTCACTCTCACACACACTTGAACACTCACTCTCACACACACGTAAGAGAGAGAGAGAGAGAGGATCAGACACTCTGATGGCTAGAATCATGTATGTGTTGGTCTCCATTGTGTCTTTGGTGCCTTTCATGTAACAGGTGTTCAATAAATATGGATGAATCCAAATGCCAGATGGGTTTGAATTCAAGATCTACAGAAATAACCTCACATGTTCTAGATTAAAACCAGAAGTTCATTCCCAAGTCAAGTCCCATTATAAAGATCACAACAGAAAATTCCTTGAGAAAAACTATTTCTCAGCTCTGGAATGAGATAACTGTTTCAAAATACATCCGTGAGGGGACCTCAGGCAATTGGGAAAGCCGGGGGGGGGGGGGGGTGGGGGGTGGGGGGGGGTGGGGGGGTGGGGGGGGGGGGGGGGGGGGGGGTAGGAGGGGGTAGGAGATGTACGTTTTTAACTCAAACGTTGCTGTGATGGACAACCATCTAGCTTCTCTGAGCCACAGACATTCCACCTGAGTGAGGCTATAGTCACACACTGCTCTAAGGATGAATGCAATAAATATGTAAAAGCCAAGCAGAAGCACATGTGTATGGGCTGACTGATGATGCTGACTTCAGTGTGGGCACAGAACCCACACAAATCTCAGGCACACTTTATGATTTTTGAATCAGAGATGTCATCTATGCTTAGGTGCTAACAGTTTCAGCAGAAAGGAAGCCAAATGACAAGCAGGACAAAAGAGTTTGGTTGGTGCTAGGGTTAGGTGATGTGGCAAGGGATGGATCCTAGAGACAAAAAGTTAAGTGGAAATAGAGTTTCCAAATGTATTTGTGACATTTTAGCCTCTACCAGTAGAGCAAGCTGGTGTAATCTCTAAAACTAAGAAAAGAGCCACAGTTGAACAATAGTGTGCATGACTACCAAGTACCAGGGCATCATCTAAATGCATTACAAACAAAAACCAAAAATGAACTTGAACAAAAAACCCAACCCCCTGAGCTTTGAGATAATTCTGTTTATACACATTTAAACTACTAAATTCTTATCCAAAACACTTGGGTACTGTTTTGTAGTAAAACAATGGCTTCTGTACATGAAGAAAGTCTTGAGATAACTGTGTTAGCTTAAGGTAATCATTACTAAGACAATGGTTTTTGCAGAAAACTGGCAAGAAACAGTGCAGTCGGATGACCAAGCAACCATTTCAGATCTGCACCCTTTGCATGCTGGCTTCTTGAACTGCTGTGCATCATTTATATGCTTTGGCCAGTTACTAGTGTTTCTTATTGGCTAGCTCTGTCTTAAATATTAACCCATTTCTATTAATCTAAGTGTTTCCACGTGGTCTTACCTTACCAGAGAGAGGGTTCGGACCTCTTCTCTCTCGTCTCTATATCTTGACTCTTCCCTCCTACATCTCCTAGACTCCTCATTGTCTCCTAGTCCCGCCTATCTTGCTTCCCTATTGGCCAACAGGGCTTTATTCATTAACCAATAAGAGAAATGTATTTATAGAATGACATCTCCCATCATCTCCTTTTTTCTGTCTAAATAACATCTACATCTCCCATCATGGATTTTTTTTTCTTTTCTTTTGAAACAGGGTTTCTCTGTAGCTCTGGAGTCTGTACTGGAATTTGCTCTGTATTCCAGGTTGGCCTTGAGCTCCCAGAGATCTACCTGCCTCTCTCTCCTGAGTGCTGGGATTATAGGCATGCACCAGCACTGCCTGGCTGGATTTTTTTTTTTTTTTTTTAAATTAGGTCTCACTATGTTGCCCAGGCTAGCTTTGAACTCCTGGACTCAAGTGATCTTCCCTAGCTTCTCAAGTATCTGGGACTAATATAAAAATATTCTTTTTACAATCATAATACACTTTCTTCCTCAAAATATTTTTATTAATCATTTGGGATTTATATACAATGTACTCCACACTCACTTCTCATTCCTCCCAGATCCACCCTCCCACCCTTGTGCCCCACCTTAAAAAAAAACACCAAATTCAATTTGCATTGCCCATATACTCATTGGAGCATGGTCAAAACCTCAGTGGTCAGTACGTTAAAGAAAACTGAGTCCTTCCCCGCACCCCACCTAAAGTCAAGAGCTACACTTCAGCATCTCTATCACAGTTTTTACAGATCTTAAGGGCGCTCTTCAATGGCTTCCTGTCTAGACTGCTTCTTTTTTTTGGGGGGGGGTGGTCACAGAAACTTCAATGGCTCTCATTCTCAGTTATAAGTTTTCAATCATTGATATCACTGCAAAAGAAGCTTCCTTGCCCATAGCAGCCAGCAGCAACATGGACCACGGACTTCCATATGGTTTCCAGCAGCAGCTCAGATCAAGGACATTACCTGGTCCCCAGTGGCAGCATGGAACATGGGGTCAACATGGCCTCTGACCACAACAAGGACCTTGGACATCAACGCAGCCTGTAGCAGCATGGCATGTGATGACAGCATGGACCACAGAAGTCTTTCAAGGAGATTTAACCAGAGAACAAACCATTCTTCATCTCAGGTATCTTGTTGTTGCTCAGAGTGAGAGTGATCATGAGTTGGGTACAGTGCTTGTAGCCTAAGGGTAGTGCCTTGGTCCCATGCTCTCCTCCCCACAGCAGGGCGAGCAGCTTAAGCAGCAGCAGTGACTCCACTGGGGGTTGAGTGGTAGGACTGGCCTATTGGGCAAGCAGTGACGATGGGGAGGAGTGGGCCAGTTGTCAATACTGAGTTGCTTCTCTCTGCCAAGCACAGTGTGCCACTCTACTCCACTATCTTTATCTCTCTTTTTCAATTCCAGGAAACTACTTTTTAAAAGCATCTTCCCAGAAGACCTGCCTTTTAAAGAGTTGTTCTGGGGATCTTGTGCACTCTATTGATTTATCTACATCTCCCCTGGAAGCCTCTCTGGGTCTCTCGAGCTTCTCAGAGAGACATCATGGCAGTGTGGGTGCTGGTGGCTGCCACAAACTTGGATCTTCTCCTATATAAGTTCTTTGTCCAATATGAATTCTAAATAGATGACAGCAAGACGGATCAGCAGGTAAAGGCACTTGCTATCAATCCTGATGACCTGAGTTTAATCTCCAGAACCCACACAGCAGGAAAGAACCATCCCCTCCAAGTTGTCCTGATCTCCACATGTATGTAGCAAACATGTGAACATGCACACGCACACATGTGCACGCACACACACAATAAATGAACAAATGAATGAATATAATTAAAAAACAATAAAATCCTTTCATTGCTTTTGGGAGAGGAGACTAAAGTAGGATCAGGAAACAGTGTGAGACTGCCACAGTAATTACAAGCAAGAGCTGATGAGAATGGGACTAAACTGGAGTCATGATTTCTGGAAGGACTTAGAAGTGGACAAGGGAACCTAGTGAATGAGGGGAAGGAAGTAAAGAGGTTGAAAATCACATACGTTGGCTGGTGTGGACACTCACTCAAATGGAAACCCTATAGGTGGAGAGGGTACAGGCTCTGGGTGTGAAAGCCTGGTCCCAGTCCTGGCTCTACCTCTGGATCTACCTAGCTTCTCAAGCCTCAGCCCCATGTCACATGGAAGACAAGCATCTTGACACATGGTCTGGTACACGGAGAAAGTTCACAGGGAAAGGGTCATAAGCAATGGCGTCCACCAATATTTATAGGGATGACTCTGGGATGGCAAGAATCGGAAGCAGTGGGCTGTCAGTTGACAAGTATGAATGGCACACTGAAATGCCTCCTCCTTCTGCAGCCTGCACTACTGTGCACTCACCACCTTGTTTAAAAGTGCTGCTGTACTAAGCCCAAGATGCAGGTGCCGAGGGCCATGCTGCTTCTCAGATTAATCTGCTATGGTGAAAACAAGTCTTGGCCAACAGCAATCGCTGGCACAGTGTAGCTTCTGGGCGACAGCCCTGCTGTCAGCCATCCGGGTCACACTTCTTCCTGCTCTGCAGCTGTTGTAGACCAAGGAGAATTGCTAGTTTGGATTTGGATTTTAAATAACTTAAATGACATATTCCATAAACTCTGTGCTGCTAGATAAAATGAAGTATTTGCCAAGAAGGGAAGGGATTTCCAATTTTAAAAGAGACCACTCTTTTGGCGATGATGATAGTGGATCTCAAGTCCACACGGGAAGATAAGGTTCTTCACACAGCAAGTTAATCTGCTCTGATTGGCTCACATGGGATTCCCAGCACCTTCCAAACAGAAGGGGCCACACACGGGCCAGCCAAGCTGTCTCATTTACTATGTGAAGAGTCTGGCTTCAGTCAGGTGCTTTTCCACCTCTGGGCCTGTACACACAAGTCCCTTTTAGAGGCCCTGGCTGGACATGTTACATTATCAAAGGAATGCTGAAATTTAAGGCCATTTCCCCCCTTTCCCTGAAGGAGAAAGCTTTCAGTTATGAGATGAAAGTCCCACGTTT